CTAGCATGGAGATCACATGGTAGGCTGCACGGCGGATGGTTGTAGCTAGCATGGAGATCACATGGTAGGCTGCACGGCGGATGGTTGTAGCTAACATGGAGATCACATGGTAGGCTACACGGCGGATGGTTAGTAGCTAACATGGAGATCACATGGTAGGCTGCACGGCGGATGGTTGTAGCCTGCATGGAGATCACATGGTAGGCTGCACGGCGGATGGTTGTAGCTAGCATGGAGATCACATGGTAGGCTGCACGGCGGATGGTTGTAGCTAGCATGGAGATCACGTGGTAGGCTGCACGGCGGATGGTTGTAGCTAGCATGGAGATTGGAGATCACATGGTAGGCTGCACGGCGGATGGTTGTAGCTAGCATGGAGATCACGTGGTAGGCTGCACAGCGGATGGTTGTAGCTAACATGGAGATCACATGGTAGGCTACACGGCGGATGGTTGTAGCTAACATGGAGATCACATGGTAGGCTGCACGGCGGATGGTTGTAGCTAGCATGGAGATCACATGGTAGGCTGCACGGCGGATGGTTGTAGCTAACATGGAGATCACATGGTAGGCTGCACGGCGGATGGTTGTAGCTAACATGGAGACCACTTGGTAGGCTGCACGGCGGATGGTTGTAGCTAACATGAAGATCACATGGTAGGCTGAACGACGGATGGTTGTAGCTTACATGGAGACCACGTGGTAGGCTGCACGGCGGATGGTTGAGAGTCGTCAAAATCCTGTCTGCATGAGACGTAGCTCAAGCGATTTCTTACACCATGCCTTATACAGACCCAGCGTAATACAGCAATATAACTGTTGCTGACTGCAGCGACACACACTCCATGTAAAAGATTACACACTGATTTTTCCATCACAAGGGATAAATATTCCATTGTAAGACGGTCCAGGAACTTTTTGATAACGTTAATTACAATATAGTTGTGTGCTTGTTTTAAGAAAAAGGATTTAATCCATACATTTATGGTATATGATGATTGACTCAGATTGTTTGTGGCCATGCGGGTTGCAGTACTATAACATAGTGTCCCCCTTAGAGGACACGTAAGCCCACTTCATTCAAGGAATAGTTATATAATCGTAATTTCTATGTCGGGTTTTATATAAATGGCTAACCTTACATACAGTCGTTAACAGTTAAAGGGGTGATTTAAATCCAGCTGGAGTCCATGCAGGTTGTGACCCATGACGATCCGGGTTAGAATTGGTCTTCAGCAACCCATGCTTGTCGTAAGAGGCGACTAACCGGATCGGCCGGTCGGGGTCACTGACTTGGGTGACATATGTCATCGTATCCCAATTGCGTAGATCAATGCTCATGCTGTTGATCACCGGATTGTCTGTTCCAGATTCGAGTATTTACAGACCGCCAACATATAGCTGTAATATTGCTGATGTGACTTTAAATGTTAACTCACTCACTCACTGAAAGATAACAATGCTCATTAACAAATATATGTTTATAATGTGAAGATTACACGAAATCCATAAATATGGATACGTTGTTTCTGAAAGTGTTTACCATTAAATGTTGAAATTAACGTTTTAGCAAAATTGAGGTATCTCTATGACACACATCTATCATCAACTTGCATTGATCGGCTGAATGATCAATGGAACAACACTTGTTATCGACTCCGGTTCATGAACTACTTCGGAAATCCCGAAACGTCCGACGGCGTTGACCCTTTTACGTCCTGTATTTGATGGGAATGCAAATACTATGTTTGTCACTGTGACTGAAGTAAGATACACTATTTATCTATTGCTGGTATTGTTATGTGGTAGTGTTGGGTATAACAATGTTATCACAATATACATATGATATAAGTAAGGGCTTGCTCAAACCATATGTTTTTGAGGCTGCAACTTAAATGGAAGTGTGTGCTATGTTAAAGGGTTATTCTACCATGACTTCAGTAAACACAGGATTGTGATTGGTTAATTAAAGTCATTCAGAGGTATATAATCACGTTATACAGGTCTCTGTTTTCCGTGCGCAATCATACATGGTTTACGGTAATGCACTATTTTTGTCTGCCCACTAACATGGCGGACACCAAACAACCTACCGATGCATCGATAAATTACGGCGATTTACTGTCGGAAATTACACATATGTCTTTAAAGATGGATTTAGCGATGACGGGCTCGACTCACTACTTGCGTAAATCACAACAATAGGTGTTTATACATACAGAAGTACTTCGAAAGCATGGAAATAAATATTCAGTCGAACAAGATCAAAACATCGTCTGCTTTCCGAATAAAAATTCAGCAAAAACAAATTGGTTTACGTTGATTCTATGTTATGTCAGAATAGATCCAGCAATAGACTGCTACAAAATTTCCGTGTTAAATTTATTATCAGCTTTCGTCAACGATATCGCCACTGATCTTGATCCGGTAACGGAGGATGCATTAACATCGAACGCCGAAGACATTTTAATGCCTTCCGTCCACATAAATAAACAGTTGGGTTATCAATTCAAACAAAATGATATTTTGAAATTTGTACTGTTTCAAATTGAGCGGTAGTAAAACACAATTAGATCTACAGAATCTGCAAACCGTTCTGTTTAGCCCAACATATTTTTCTAAATGTATAATATCGTTGAAAAAGTTATTTAGCTTAGTCATGATCCCTCTTATCCATTACACTGCTTGATCTAAAGTAGTCTATTAAAGTATAATTAATTACCTTACCGTGTTTATGCCAGAGGTACACCCTCGTGTCCTGATCCATCCTTTCGGATATCACCACAAATCTGGCTCTTTGTCAACAGACTCGCGAACATGCCAGCGAATCCGATTCAATTTGAATTCACTACACTTTGAAGCCACTAGGTCACAAAACACTTTCCAAAATGTAGAAAATAATATCCGTAGAACCGAATTTGAGCACAAAGTACACACATGAGTGTGTAAGAGTCACCACAGCTGTCGCACGCAGACGTAGAGGTGCGTGAAATCGTCAAGTTGACAGGGCACAAAATTCAACAGTATCTAAATTCGGTACAACACGGACTTCCCGTTACAGCAAAAGCGCCCCTACTCTTAAATTTTGTACCAGTACCAGTAATTAGATATCAAAGACTATCTCAGTCATACAATCAGGTTAACCTTGCGCAAACTGTCAGAGGCTCTCCTGTCGAATCTTTCCAAATTTGCACGTAAATGTAAACAATGACTTCGAGAAAAGGTCAAGGCCATGAGGTTGCTGCCACTTTTCTGGTGGGGAAAGGGTCTACGGTGGAATTTTCAAATGTGAACCAAGCTTTTTAAACTTATTTGATATATGTTTTCAAACTTATCAGTTAATGATTGGTGATTGATGCATTGAAAAAACAAAACGTGATTTGTTATTACTGAATCTGGAGTTTGTTAGTCATTGACGGTTTGCCACCAAACACCCCTGCGTTTCGGGCGATACCACTTGAGATTGGAATGCGAGGCCGCTTCACGTATTGACTCGTAACCAAAGAAAGAGCTCCACCTGAAATTGTTCATAAAATTGTCATGGTAGAATGGAGATAAACCTACTGTGTTGGAAAATCAGAGGTATATAACGAAATTATAATAGCTCTAAATTGTTCATTTAAAACCTCACGCTACGCGTTCGGTTTTAAATGAAATTTAGAGCTATTATAATTTCGTTATATACCTCTGATTTTCCCACACAGTAGGTTTATCTCCTAATTGAAATATTTCAAATATGGGCGAAATAGTTGCCCCATAGGCGAGAATACGTACTTTTCCTCAAACTCGGGCTCGGGGCTGCAATTGTATGAAAGTTTGTTTCCATGTATGGTGACAAAGAATTCACCTTCTTTCAACTTAATTCACCTACTTCACAGCATCATGAAAATATCTTGCCCATGTGCGAAAATAGTTACGTTTGCTCAAATATTTTCTTTGTATTGCAAATGCATACAATAATACATGCCAGCAGTAGTATCATTCATGACACACAATTAAACACACCAAAAGGTGTAACAATAAGTATCACCACACACAGTTCAACATGCGTTATTACATTAAACGGACATCGAATTCTGTATGTTTCAGGTTGCAATACGATCGTTTCATTAACTACGTGTATAACTGTGTGATCCTACATGTCGTACAAGATGACGTGGACGTGAACGGTGTAAAGAAGAGTTCAGCGTGACTTTATCTGTTGAACGAATGGTTAGATTCTATATAGTTCCAGTGAGCAGTAAGGGTAACATATTATGTTGTATCTACTGGACTTTTTAATCATCATGATAATAATATTATTATTTTAAGCCTGATTGTTCCAGGATCATCCAAACTCTCTCTGCTGCATACTACTATAATCTGTAACGAAAGATTTACACTGTTCACGTTTTGCTCAATGACGATATAAAGCGCTCATGTCTCTCATGTACTGTTAAAATACAATTTGCATATTTTTGTAAAATAATACATAAACATTAGACTTTTTCCTTCCAAAAGCAATAAGGAAGTCTACGATATACAGATGTATGTCTGAAAACAAGCATCACTCCAAGAGAGAGAGAGAGAGAGAGAGAGAGAGAGAGAGAGAATGTAAAACAGCGAAGAATCTCTCTCGATTCTTCAGAATTCATACATGTCATAAAATGCGTATTTGAATGAGATTCGAAACTCAACATTACACAATGAGCTCCATGGATACAGGGAGTCAGTGATATGACATGTACCCGGTGGATTTCAAGATAGAACAGATGGAGTGATCAATGTCTATTGTAAGCCGCGAAACAGTTTGGAACAATGATGTATCTTAATCCCCCAGTGGCTGGCGAATCAATACCGCGGGCTCACGGGTAGATTGCTCTGATAGATCTCCCTGGGCAATCAGTAAACTTCATTGGGCTAAAGTTTGTTGATTGCACCGAGAGAATACCATTGTATCAGTGACTGAATATATTCAGTGCGTTAACAACCATCTTACAGAAACCTGCTGACGCCAGGAAGGTATGGGAAACACCAGCTCAAAACAGTCATGAACACACAACAGCGTTGGATTTGGATCTTCATTTTCGTCGGTGGTAAGTCAAACATTATCTCTCTAAATCCTTCCCTGAAGATATAGACGTCACACTGGAGATCTACAAGAAAACCAACATTGTTATATTAAGATTAATGTAACATTTTGCAGAACTTGCTGATGGAATTGATCATGAGATTCACCATATTTTGAATGATCCAATGCACTCACTGGCACACAAAACTCATTTGAGCAGAACACACCTAATGGATTGTCACTCGTTTTTTAATATTTTGCACAAACCAAGGGTAATATATTTCACTCTTATATGCCACAGTATACTTTCCTAGTTAGCTGGTTAACTGTTGACATTCATCACTCACGTTTAGTTTCTCGTATACTCATATATTTCAAATTTGTAATCCACGTTTCCATCCTTAAGTGTATTGCGAACCTTTTGCTTGATTTGGCGTTGATTGATATGAACAGTTCTTTATTACCATCAACCTTATCAGTGTTTTAGCATGTCGTGTTGTCTCTCGTTGCTCCAAACACTTTAACAAGCATGATTCTTGGGGGAACGTGTTGTGTCTATTGGGACAACACATTGTTCATCTTTGATGACCGTGTCAGATGTTAAGGTAGCAGTATTGTTTAATTGATGTGCATATGGGTTAACTTTGTATTTACCTTACATGCAGGGATACAAAGAAATAGTTGTCGGTAATGTTCACTAGGGGAATTGAAACCGTGAAAGGTGTTTGTGCTTGTTCTATTATTGCTTTATGTTTATTCCCAGATGACTTCATACACAGGCTTGACGTCACAGTTGATTGATGTGCTGTTAATATGTATCCAACATCTATATTGTTCGGAAACTAATATATACCAGAGTATTTACTGTTCTGAATTACACAATAGAGTCATTCGTGAATTATGGCCTATGATCATGTCTAAAAACCAAATTCCTTTGGCGCAAATACAAAATTTACAGTGGCTGGTTGCATTATTGTGTTTAAATCTTAATCCTAACTACTGCTTTGACAGGCATTTGGTCTTTTGGAAGAACCTGAGTACATGACACTTTTTATGTGGATACGATGTATCAATGGATGTAGACTTTGCAGAAATATAAAGAGTGAGTGAGTGAGTTTAGTTTTACGCCGAACTCAGCAATATTCCAGCTATATGGGGCGGTCTGTAAATAATCGAGTCGGACCAGACAATCCAGTGAACAACAGCATGAGCATCGATCTGCGCATTTGGGAACCGATGACATGTGTCAACCAATTCAGCGAGCCTGACCACCCGATCCCGTTAGTCGCCTCTTACGACAAGCATAGTTGCCTTTTGTGGCAAGCGTGGGTTGCTGAAGACCTATTCTACCCCGGATCTTCACGGGCCTGCACAAATATAAAATAAAAAACATTCAACTTCTGCAACGAAAATCAACTTGCTGTCTTCAGATGCCATCGGGAACGTTTTTGTAAAATACCTTCAAAACACAAAAATGAAATTAATTGAAGACTTATATTATGAAGAAACAAAGATAATCTGTACTAAAATGTTGACAATTGAAATTCAGATGTACATTATTGTGATAGCAGTGACCTTTAAAGCTGTAGATAGGAGTTTATCCGAGAGTAATGTTAAGCTGGTTCCTTGTCAACATACCTAGGATTTGTGTGAATACAGATGCATTGGCCTATTATCCCAAAACATGTGATAAATACTTTTTGCTAACTCTTTGACACACAGTGTCTGATAAAACTTCCAAATAAAGCATGTCGATTCGAGTTTTGTATGGATGTAATCACTGATTAATCTGAATAACTAAAGGATGTCATATTGAGAGCGTAATAAAAGCATACTTCAAGTGAACTAAGAGCACATATATTTTCGCGCTGTACTTAGGTAAACACATTTTGACCATATTTCATACGTATGTATTGAATAAATCGCCATAGGTTTGATCCATAATAACAACGATCAATACTTAAATATTGTTATGTTAAACAATCCTGAATACGGCTGTTGAATAATGACAGTGTAATTGGTTAGAAATATTGTTCGAAAATGGAGGAGTAGGAGTTGGGTAGTGCAGACGTAGGCTCGGGTAGTGTGCCAGAATTAAATATTCGATTATTTTGCTATAATTGCAGCTATTTCCACTTTACAAACATTAACATGTGTTCAAACTATTATGCACCTAAATATGTTTTGGGACAGTTCATCAAGCAAAATAATTGTGAGCATTCATGTTGAAAATATGTTCAAGGCAATTTTGATTCTATTTTACCTCAAACTTTGTGAAGGCTACCATTACGTACCTGTTAATCATCGCTGAGGCGCGAATCGCCTGCACAGAGTTGTTTCTATGTACAGAACCTCAGGTTTTAATCTAAGAATCTGATTTGTCGGTATATGCAAGACAAATACAGATCAGCCTCCCACTGAATGAACACTGTCCTTCAGCATGGAGATTTCTCGAAGCAATACCTCACTTTCGAAAGTGCTTTAGTCTTTATGGAATATTTTAATGCTCAAATGATAGATCCCTGACTTCTTTAGTGTCTGGTGACCTTGAAGTATGTGTATGTGGACTGGTACCAACAATACAATCAAACAGCACACGCTCCCTTTTACGAGCTCTAAATGTTCTCTGAATTATCATACTTCACAGTATAAAAATAAATTAATATCAACGTGGAAATAAGATCAAAATTATTGAAAATATCATTTAATTGTTTTTCGTTTATGATGTTTTGAATTTTCCACCATACATTGAGACATCGTCCTTGTATCGCAACGTTATGTTTTCTTTCACAGCTTCTGCTGCGGTTGGTCAACGCAGATCATCTGCACCACACACATGGAACGCTTCAATCCAGCATTGTAAGGATGGCGGTAAAGAGGTTTTCAATCCTCTGGAGCAGAGCCAGCAGGAGACCCTCATACAAGGTGTTAACAACACAGGTAGGTTGATTACGTTCGCCAACCATGTATATATACTAGCCACATAAAGAAACTGTTATCCCAAAATATTATCCCAGTTGATAAGTACGATAACAATGTCAAAGGTACATATAAACTTTAATGGAGGGATCATGACACCATAACAAGTCGGGAGAATTTCAATTGAAAAGTCAATCACAATGACGTCACGAGTCCACAAGCGGGACAGGGGTCAAACGACCATGTCACAAGCTCAATAACGGGTATGTCCAGCATCGGCATTGAAAACAGAAGTGCATCGACGTCGCATAGAGCCTATCAAACGTGCAAGGAAGGCTTGTGGGATGTCACGCCAGATTCTCTCAAGTTCTGTTGCAAGGTCAAGGACGTTATCTGGCGGATGAGGAAGACGACGTAGACGTCGATCCATCTCGTCCCAAACATACTCTATCGGGGAGAGATCCGGTGAATTTGCAGGCCAAGGCAGTAAATCAACGTTGCAAGAAATCCATAGCAACCCTTGCCGTATGAGGGCGGGCATTGTCCTGTTGGAATGTTAACCCAGGGCCATGACGTTGCAGAAAAGGAATTGCCACTGGTCGAAGAATCTGATCCCTGTAGGCCACACCAGTTAAGTTGCCCTGAACAATCACCAAAGGTGTTCTTTGGTTCCGTGCTGTTATTCCACCCCAAATCATCACGGAACCACCACCACCACCAAAGCGATTCCTCTCCAAGACACAGGCCTGTGCATAACGTTCTCCCACGCGTCTATAGACACGTTGACGTCCATCACTATGGTAAATGTTAAACCTGGACTCATCTGTAGAAACATCATTTCTCCACCAAAACAAGGGTCTGCGGACATGATTTCGGCACCACATTCGGCGAGCTTGTCGGTGACGTTGTGTCAGGATAGGCCGTATGGCGGGACGTCGTGGTCTGATCCCGTGATGACGTAAACGTTATCGAACTGTGTTGGGGTGGATACGGCGAAGTCCTGGGATGGTTCCGGCAGTCATCACTGCAGTCTGAAACCTGTGGCGAAGATGGGTCACCCTTATCCATTTGTCCTGTCTTGGCGTTGTTACACGTTGACGTCCAGAACGTGGCCGATCGATGACGTCATTTGTGTTCTGGTAGCGTCTCACCAGTGCAGAAATGGTGTTCCGGTGGCAGTGGAAATGTGCAGCCACTTGTCGTTGAGACATTCCCCCATGGTCCATCCCAACGGCCTCATGACGTTGTGCAGACGTGAGCCTTGGCATGCTATGCGTATCAATAGCCGTTTAATGTTTTGAACGATCGCAAGGGCAGGGGTTGAGCTTTCCAAAGTGACAGTATTGTGTTGCATTCATTTGCTCTGTTTCTCTTTCCCAGAATGCACGTGCAACAACGTATTGCACGTCTCCAGGACGAACCCACTGACGTCACGGAACGTGGCACGTGCATGCATGTTGGATACATGTCACTAATCCCTGAGTTTAAATCCTTATGTGTCTACACAGGTGTGATAAATTTAGATTTTAAATTTTTGTATGCACAGTTTCTTTATGTGCCTAGTATACGAACCCCACACAGATATACACCACAGGTATACACGACCCCGATCCTTGTATCGTGGTACAACTACTAAAAAATAGTGGAACTATAAGCTTTAAGCAATCGCTACCCCACGACTTCTCCACGTTGGTATGAGAGATAGATAATGTAATACACTTTTTTTCTACAGCATCTTTTCACCGGTCTATGTTTTATTAATAGTTTCAGTTAGTGATTGAAAGCTGAATTTGTGTGATTTTCAGTTGAGCACTATTGGACGAGTCTTCATGCATCAAACGAGTCCATCGAAGTTTTTGAATGGAAAGGTATAGGATTTTATGAAAAGATATCACAAGTTCCGTTGCCATGGAAACCCGGCGAAAGACCCAGCGGAACATCTAACAATTCTTGTGTTGCTGTAGAAGTAACAAAGTTGTCCGTCTCCTTTTACCTGGAGGACTGTTCAACAATGCTATTCTCCCACTGCAGAACGGTGAATGGTAAGTTCAAATCTACATTCTTTACAGTGAGTGAATCAGTCAACATTGTCTCAGGCAGTTAGCTTAGCGCTGATTGAATGCGGAGTGTCGACTTCAATAACTCTGGTGACATACCAGAGATTATAGTGCTGAAAATCAAGGGACATTATCAGGGCAGTGAGGACCTACGACACAACTAGGGAACGTAAGTCTGCACAGTGTCCTACACAGAAGTGGTTAATTATATGGATAGGTATGTTTCAAAACATGTTACTTCGTTTTAGAAAACATTTTCTCATTGAATAAGTAAAAAAGCTGAGGGCTCTTAAGTCGCTCAAACACCCTTGTGCGTCAGAGTAAGTGAGGGAGTTGAGTTTTACTCCGCTTTTATCAATACTCCAGCAATATGACGGCGAGGGACATCAGAAATGGGTTTCACACATTGTACCCATTGGGGAATCGAACCTGGGCCTTCTGCGTGAAGAGCGAACACTTTGACCACTGGTCTACCCCACCTCCCCTGTGTGTCAAAACCTAGCCGAAATGGGACCGAATATGATCTCCCTCAATAGGTTGTCATTTCTTTCATCTTCTAAAAGTTGTCGTATGATCGACGAAAATTCTCTGGTCAAGGGGGAGAGACCCTTACAACTACATGTATCCCGTTTGAGTTATCACTAATATGAAGCCTAAAATAAATATAATTACTAAAATCTAATTATTATCCGCGACAGTTCAAATGTTTTAAGAGTAATAGTAACTAAAATGATAGTTAACAACAGCTGCAATGCAATTACAATCAAAACTTTTAGTCAGATAAATAACCCTTTGACCAGAAGAACTGCAACGTGAAGGCCGGGAAATATCAGGTCTAGATCATTCGACGAAACTGATCTAATGGTCAGAAAAGCAAACTAGACGTGAAACCTATCTGAATGAATCGCTAAAAATCAATGATGACATCAGGTCTTCCCGAAAAGAGTAAGCATGTCCCACCCTTTCTCCTAGGTAACACCCGCCAGTCACACAATTTACTTAAGAGCATGTGATCCGTCGCCTGACCCAGCGCCGTAGTACCCAAGCAATGCAATGCGGTATCTGAAACCCACGTGACAGTCCAGTAAGGGACCACATGCAGCAATATCCCAGCTATATGTCGGCGATCTGAAAATAACCGAGTCTGGACCAGACAACCCAGTGATCAAGAGCGTGAGCATCAATCTACACAACTGGGATACGATGACATGTGTCAACCAAAACAGCGAGCATGACCACCTATCCCGTTAGTCGTCTCTTACGACGAGCATGGGTTACTGAAGACCAATTCTAACCCGGGTCTTAACGGGTACTGAAACTATCACATCAGAGCCAGAGAATAACCAGTCTCGATTCACCGGAAACAGATTCCAAAAGACAAAATAGAGTTAAACATTATATGAGTTGATCAATTAACATCAGTTTAAGCTCATGCCTATGCAACCTTCGTCCTTCATATAGTCACCTTAATGTTTCCTATAGCTTCTACATCACACTTGTCTGATTACGAATATAAACTCACGGGCAAAAGAAACGTCACCAAAATTATGTTTCATTTTTTAACGTACCTTTGTATTTTTTTCAATAAAAAACGGGTTGACACAACTTGCCCGAACGCAACCAACATACACTACGCATTGAATTGCACGAGATTCATGTGATTTGTGTAAAAATGTTAAATTTGCACGGAATTTTGCGAAATCCCTTCGTAAAAAGCCGTATTGAATTCAGGTATAAAATGTGTAGAGAAATGATGTATTCCATTATCACATCGTATGGTACAAAGGAAACATGCCGAGGCTAACAGCACAGCAGGGAGAACGAGCTATTGGTATGCTGGATTTGGGAGCGACGCAGTCCCATGTTGCAAGGTTGATGAACTGTTCAAAGCGAACAATCCTAAGATTGGTGAGCCGTTACAGAAGGACGGGTGTCACGTCTGACAGGCCAAGAAGTGGACGTCCGAGAGTCACGACCCCCCAGGAAGACCGTTATTTACGACTGCTTCACTTGAGGAACCGCTTCTTAACTGTGACGTCATCCGCCCGAACTGCTCTTGGCCATCCAGTCAGCAAAAGGACCGTTGCCAGACGTCTTCGACACCATGGTATCAGAGCCTATCGACCGCTGAAGGCTATGACGTTGACGCCTGAACATCGTCGTCAAAGACTGAGGTGGGCGAGAACTGTTGAGCGATGGCAGGCAAGAAACTGGTCCAGAGTGCTCTTTACCGATGAAAGCCTTTTCCACGTGTTTAAACCAGACGGTAGACAACGGGTATACCGAAGGCGGGGAGAACGTACACGACGTTGCTGCGTACAAGAGACCAACCACTATGGTGGTGGAAGCGTGATGGTCTGGGGGGGGGGGGGATTTCTGGCGACATGAAGACTGATCTTATGTTGATTCATGGTAATCTAACAGCTGCACGGTACATCAATGAAGTTTTAAGACCAGTCGTCGTGCCATTCATCCAGAATCACCCACGTACCATGTTCCAACAAAAGACAACGCCACACCTCATAAGGCACGCATCAGTATGGACTTCTTTAATGCCCAGAATGTGACGTTACTTCCTTGGCCAGCTCGATCTCCCGACAAATCAACAAAAGCGACAGCCACCCATACAGACAAGAGAGGCGTTGGCACAGGCCCTACAGGAAGAATGGCGCAGAATCCTGATACATGTGATCAGACGACTGACATTATCTGCTAGACGTCGTGTCCATGCTTGCATACAAGCCAGGGGTGACCAAACAAGATATTGACTGTATTAAACAGTCTGTCTTCACTTTAGAGCCGCTTATGATGAAACAGATGGTACTCGAATACCAGACAGTCAACTGTCCTTGATTCAATTGTGCACTATGTGATCATTCAAATCTGTAGTTCACACTTTCATCATTTAGAATGTTGTAAAACCATTAATTTTCCAAATATGACTGTTACATTTCCAAAATCTGAGTTTGTTCTTTTGTGACATGTTAAAAAAGCGAGGTGACGTTTCTTTCGCCCGTGAGTTTATGTTATATATAATTTAGTCCGATATATATATCATTAACCAATACATGTCCACAAAATGTAAAGTACAATTCAAAAGGACCCCAGGACAAATTCAGGCTGTAAGATTAAATATTCTGGACATGCCAAATCATTCTTGACTTGAGTTGGATTCCCTTCTAAATATGTTTGGTGGGTCCAAGAGGAATGTAGCCCTGTTGTTAAACATAAGGAAGTCGTCGGAGACAAATCAGGGTGTACACAAAGTACACACAAAATAACGATAACTAAATAATGTCAGGTTCGTTAAGTTACACTGATGTAATAGCATATATTATTCTCCTTTTAGTTTAATAGTTCAACATTTCAGTAAAAGCGTGATTAGTTCGTTCAAGTGCTTTTAAGCACATTCAGCAACATGTAATTAAACACAAGACGGCGGTGTATTGTTTCTTGTGCGACAATAACCAGGAAGTAATCTGCGCTGAGGATTTTGATGGTATCTAAATATTGAATAAGTTACATTTTATTCATGAATCAGAGGTTCGGAGTCAGAAAAATAAACAGCCAAAAATATAATGTATTTATATACCAGCCTTTCATTTAACCGTTTTCAGCTCAAAATAGCAGATGTAAATTGTTAAAGGGCACGTTAAATTTCGTAGAATTACATGTTTCTACTCTGCACACACATTAATATATATACTCAATGGCAAACGTTAGTGACATCAACACATTTGTTGATATAAATGAGAATTTTTATAGCGAATTTAAACATTCTTTTTAATAACTTAACATACCCTGTCGGTAGTTTTGTTTTGTATGGTTTTTTTGTGCTTTCAAGAAGTCCGTGGAATAAAGGCATAAAACGTGCCCTTTAAAACGTGTGGCTCTAAACCTCGAATCATTGTCACCCAAGTCATTGTTTAGACGTCGACGGGTTCGAAAAAGTCACAAATTTGGAAGAATCTGCTTGCATTTCTCTATGCCACGTCTAACTAAAAATGACTGACTGACTGAGTTTGGTTTTACGCCGCTTTTAGCAATATTCCAGCAATATCACGGCGGGGGACACCAGAAATGGGCTTCACTCATTGTACCCATGTGGGGATTCGAACCCGGGTCTTCGGCGTGACGAGCCAACGCTTTAACCACTAGGCTACCCCACCGCCCCCACATGCTATGAAGTCACAGTGAGAGAACGGTCACAACTCAGTCAGTCAGTCATAGCATGTGCTCGCCAGAAATTTTTAAAATGTGCCATTTGCGATCCTCGTGTGGAATGATTTTCTTGAAATATTAAAAATGTCTCATCATAAAAAATATCAGTTGTTCATTCACATATCTAACTTCAAGTTTCAAGTCCATTACAATAACTTTTGCCTTTGAGTATGTTTTAAGAGCGCTCGCACTTATGCCAAAGATATTTGTGAAGAGGCGTCGGTCAATGATTAACTCGGCGTTAGTACCCACGGTAACACACTTTGTACTACCACGTAACCTACGTGGCTGCAATCCTAAAAGCCATACTTTACTAGCATTGTCATGTATTAAAGTAACCATGGATACATGTCTCGTTTGACAAAATATGTATTTGGCAAACAATGTTCAATAGTTTGGAATATTAGTGTTTCATGTATATTTAATAGTGTCCAAATAAACAAAAGCTTGAGCGATTCCCTCAAACACATACTACTGACATACATATTGTAATCAGTCTCTACAAGTCTCAGTTAAGTTTACTTGTTGCATCACTGCGGGTGAACTTGTTCTGTGTCACAAACCGTGTATGAAACATTTCAAAGAGCTGATCGATATTTTCTGACATTTTGCCATTATCTTTTACATCAACATGTGTCTTGGGAAGGATTTAAAATTCCTTTGTTCAAGACAATTATTCTCAACTGACACGTAAGCATGTGCATGTGCGTTTTTGATTATTCATTTAAACGATTGTAAGAAAGTCATCAGCTTCCTCTTCAGCC